TTTTGGTTTGTGTCAAAACAGTCAGCATCCAAATGCCCTGGAGGAGCCATGAAGGTGACTGGATGTTGTCCTTTAGTGACCTTTTATTCTGTTTCCTACAAAACTATCAACATCCATTGAACTGCTCCACAATTTGTCACATTTTTTCAAATTTGATTGTGTTGAATTGGAATTTCATAATATAGACAAAAACAAAGCATCATAGTGAAGTAGGAGGGAAATCTTCTAGCATTATGAAACCTTTTTTTTTTCTTTTTTTTTTTTTTTTTTAGAAATAAAGCTCAAAAGTTTGTTAGTTTCCTGAGGAGCCAATCACTTTCAAAAGACATCTATTTTAAAAAGTAGTAATAACATCTGTTTTTCTTTAGCACAGAGATGAAGCTTTTTACTTTTTAGTTTATAGGGAGATGAAAACTGGCAAAGACTTAAGACTGAGATGGAGGTTGGCCCTATGGACAACAACGCTGAACATTCAGTGTTACTAAAGACATATGCTAGATAAGAGCATATGTATTACTTAGAATGACCTAGTCAAAGTCCAGAATCAAAACTAAACTTCAGAATTTGCAACAAAATATGAAAAGATGATGTCTCTCCAAACTGACTAAAAAAGAATGAGTCGAAATCTCAATATGCAAAACTAGTTGCACCTCGCAAGACTTGTGAGTGTAATTGCAGTAAAATGTGATTCCACAAATGTTGACTCAAAGGACTGAATACAAATGCATATGTTGATCTATCACATAAAACCCGAATAAAATACTTTGAAGTTTAAAGTGACAAAATGTGGAAATGTTCAAAGGATATTAATATTTCACTATAAGGTGTTGACTGTAAAAGAAAAGAAGAAGGATCAAATGTCACGTTAGCCTGGCTCACTGTGTTTCTGTTACAATTACAAAGACATGCCCCCATACAAGCGTGGCAACACATTTATTCTGCAGACAAAAACTGCTGCCACTTGATCAAAACTGTACTTGTGACCAGTGTTAGAGGTCATCACTGTGTAACTGATGAAAACACACACACACCCTACACACACACACACCCACACACACACACACACTGCCACTGAGACTCCTTTGATGCTCTGCCAGAGACTGAGAGGATGCCACATTTCTGTGAAGATAAAAAGCACACAATTCCCTTTTATTAAACTGTTAGTTTGGAAAAATGCAACTTATACTTTCACTGCAGCATTAAAACCTGATGGTCATAATATCATCACAGCATGTCCTTCTTCAGGTGTCAAATTATATCTAAAATGACTTTTTAGTCATGGAATTTTACCATGAAGGATAACTTGTGGTTTTTGTGATAGGAAATGCAAAAAAATTGTGGCCATAAAAATAATCAAAGGCATCTTGGTTAGGAATATTTTATTTTACATGATAATTCAAATGAAATCATTGTTATTTATCAGGGTCATTGATTGCTGGTTAAAAACAAAACAAAACAAAAATCCTCCACCAATCAGTAAACTCAATGATGACTAAGGATGAAAAAATAAAAATAAAGTTATTTTGAAAAAAAGTAAATCAACAAATGGGACAAATACATTAAAAAAACATCAGAAAAAAAGAAAAAATCACCGATTATCATCTGCAATGATGTATATCATGTTCTTTATACCCTATATTGTTCTTTTTATGTGAAAACAACAAGAGATTATTTCATTAAGTTCAGGATAATATGTTGCTCTCTACTAAACCACAAGGCAGTTGTTTATACTGTTGAAATGCAACAAGTTGTTGGGTTTGAATCTCAGCTGGGGTTCTCAAAGTGGGCTCTCTCTGGGTTCTCCAGATCCCTCCTTTTTCCATAAATATGCACATGAAGTTAATTAGTCTCTCCAGGTTCCCATTGTAAATAAGTATTTATGTGTATGGTGTGCCTCCAAACCCCAAGCTAATCTGCAATCCGGAAAGGATAAGCAGTTACAACTGAGAGCAACTGCTTAGCAACTCAAAAGCTCAAATAATATCTGACCCAAATCCCAGAATAGTTGAAAATTAGGTTTTGTGGGTGCAGAGAAGGACCAAAGAGCAGAGAGAGATGGAGGGAGTTCACACCACCACTGCTGTCAAACACAATGGACAAAGATCATATCCCCTACTCCAACATCTCTCAAACCATTCAGCCAGATAGAAATTTAAATAGTGTCAAAAGCAAATGATTTGGCTTAGTGATTAGTGGTGCTTGCCAACCCAAGCAAGCACCACTATTGAGCTGTGAGCATGCCATGATAGTCAGGAGATTAGTGAGATACCTCTTCAGATTCTTTGCAAGGCATGTGCTTGAATAATATGCTTTCTCTTTGGGATAGGTGACATATTCTTGAATTGAATTGAAAGTTAGATGTCAGAACAATCCAAACGTTCTGACCATCTTAAACCTCTTTTGTACATATTGTTTTGTCATTGCATAACCAAATTACATTTTTGTGCTATGTAATTCTGTCTTCAAAGGGGCAGTATTATGTAAAATTTACTTTTTTGAGCTTTACATCAAGTTATAAAGTTATTCCTGGAACTCTATCTTCATTCTTTCATGCATTTTTAAGCACCTTGGCCCTGGAACTCTCCCATCTCAGCTCCTTCAAACTAGCCAGCAGCAATTAGCAAACAATTGGTGGACCTGTGCATCTGCTGAGCTCATAATTCAAAACTCTAGTAAAAATGTTGTTGAAAGGTTAAAGAGGAGATATGTTGTGATGTTGTGATAACTTCCTGAAGGTGGAGTTTCAGAAAGAGCAAGGGTTTTTAAAGGGAAAGAGGCCCAATTTCAAAGTCAAACTTCTTTTAAATCATGTTTAATAAATGTGTAGTATTTCTGTTACAACTGAGAGTAACATTGTTATTTAATTGTGCTATCAAATGGCACTCTGCCAAGAAATTGCACAATAATGCCTTTTAAATCTTTTGTTTCTCCATATTACACAAGCACAGAACAATATGCAGAATTTGTTGGGGTAATAAAACAGGTCCTGCTTACAAACACTAGACCTTTATCCAGTCGACCATAAGAATAGACAGCTAGCAGAAGGATTATAGTCAATACCGGAAATAGTATTTGACTGTAAGAACTTAAGAGTTTTCACAAACGCATGGAGACAAACTGCAGCTAAAGGATTCTGGTGCAGCTGTTTAAGCACTCGTGCACCCACAGCACTTCCAAGCACTTCACTGGGTCAGTGGACAAATTGAATGGCGGCCAAGGTCAGGGCTCAGATTTAGCTGGGCGCTTCTCAACCAACAGGTGTTACAATCAGAATGTACCACTTGTGGTTTGTCATAGCAGGACATGAATATCTAAACGTCATTGTGTTGCATTGATCAAGTATGCTCATCTCTGGAGCATTTGTGGAAAGGTGCTTCCAAGGACAGGCCAATGAAAGGCAACATTGATCAGTGTTAGACTGATCAATCAGTAGGTAACAAGATATCTTGAAGTATAGGCTTCTTGTCAGGAAACAGACTTAATGTTTTTTCTTTTCTCATTTTAACAACCTAACTGAAAATTACACATAAATGATTTTATGTTCCTATTTGTGGGCTGGTCTTGGCAAGTGAGGAACTACAGTATGTCTGTCACACACAAATCCTGTGTATGAAGCAAAAGACTGAACACACGCTCAACCCACATATGAGTATTCATACCAGCTCACTACACCAGATTAGGAGACCTGTACGAGTCATTCCAAAAACCTTACATCTTCACCAAACCTACAGATTATGGGAAAGGAATCCTCTGGATTGCTGTGTCACAACTTGCGCATGGATGAGTCATTTGTGCAACATATAATAAAATAAAACCTAATCTACTTTTCTTTCATGTAAAACAAAAAAGAATGATGTCAATAACTTTATTAACTAAAATCTTCAAAACTAAAGTTACTATATGAGCTTTTATGATATATGGAATCATATAACTTTTGATGAGGAGCCAAATAATTAGTAGAAGCTATGTAACTTAATTACATTTTACTTGCTTTGCAAATCATTATTGCTTTTTATCCCGTTCTTAGAATATCTTGTAGAAGCAATAACACATCTTGAACTGTTGCGGGTTTTATCTTATATCCACAAACTAATAACATTTGCGGTGGTTCAAGAGGAAAACTCTTCTAGTTCAATGTTTAGTTGCATGTTTCCCCAGCTTTCCACATCCAGATATAAAACATCAGTTTTCAAGTCATTCTTCACATTTTCCTTTTTCTGGAGCATGAATGTACTTTGATTCCATTTCTTCTCCAACTGCATATTTGACTCAGTGCAGGTCAATTCATTTCAAAAATACTTAATTTATCCCAAACTGAAATTATATGTTAACATAACATATTTTACTCTAAGGTCTTAAAAGAGTCGATGAGGAGGTTGATGCTGAAGACACGTGTTGTTGTCCTGCTGGAAGATGAACATCTGCCCCATTTTCTAATCTTCTGAACAACTTTAGGTTCTCTTCCTGGACTACCTAATGTCTGTCCCTGCTGAAAGAAAGGATATCTTCAGCAAATTGCTGTCATCACCTTGTTTGGGTGAAGTGTTAATTTTGTGTTAGATGCTCATTTTTCCTTTCATGACTTTCCAGCCATTTCGCCCCTTTTGGGAGAACGTTCCTTCACATTCCCCCTTGTTTTTACCCCGCATGGAGTCTTTGTGTCTTTATCTTCGACTTATGCTTACAGTTCAAGCTAAGCGGTTCTCCCTCTTTGTGACTCAACTTCGGCGGAATAAGCACGTTCAGAAATATGCCAGCAGCCGTAAACGACGTGAAGAAGAAATAAATAATTTTCTTCATTCTGTGTTGACAACACTTCGGTGGCAGTATGTGCATTCCTGCATACAGCTCGCTTTTGGTTGCAAACGCTGTCCATCATTGGATGGAACAATGTCTCTCCGCCCTCTTGGCATCAACGCTCAATTTGATTGGTTTTAAAATTAGTCCCCGAAACACAAGCTGACCAATAAGCGTTCAGGGGGCGGGTTCCTTTCTACAGTGGTGGAATCGAACGTCCCCGAGCGCACACGGCGTAAAGGAGAGTCTGTGGAAGGGACATAACGGTTTTCTTTTCGGCCCCCCTCTCCACTCAGACAACAAGAACCAACAAAAACCTGAATTTTAGAGGGGCTTACACAACCTTCTTCTGCTCTAAAGGAGGAGGGAAGCGAGGGATTGAAGCAGCAAGTTCTTTTTTTTCTTTTTCATTTTTTTTTCTCTTTTTCTTAAAAGAGGATTTTGTGTTTTCACGGTGGTTCGCTCTTCGCTCTCGCCGCAAAGATGATGGTCGGAGAGGTCGAAGTGAAGGAGCGACCGAGGCCGAGTCCGGACTATTTGATGCAATTATTAAACGAAAAGAAGCTTATGACCAGTTTGCCAAATCTCTGCGGGATCTTCACGCACCTGGAGCGGCTTCTGGATGAAGGTAAGCGGCGTTTGGATCATGCGGGTGGCGGGGTGGCGCCGTGGAAGAGGGAGCGTGACCACGGCGCAGTCCGATGTCGGTAACACTTCTCCGGGTGTCCCCGCTGCGGATCGGGCGCTCCCATACTGTCTGGAGTAGCAGGGACACTAAACTTTAAAAAAAATAACCCCACCCGAATAAAAAAAAAATCCAGTTCTGCCCAGTTTTAGATCACAGCGACGGAGTTTTGTTTTGGAGCAAACGGAGTTTGGCGATCGGAAAACTTTGCTAGACTCACTTAGAGAAAGCAAAACCACACAATACCCTTCAAAAGTATTCTGAGAAGAGTGGGTAAAGGGTTAGTTGGGGTTAGGAAGTCGTGGTTTCTTATCGACAGTGCTTCTTACATGTTTCACAGCAGTTTAGCTTGAGTTAGCCACATTTAAAGCTAGCTCCTGCGTTCCGCTGAACTCTCGGCACGTCGCTGAAGTTGGTATTGTATTCGTACTTCTCCTTAGGCTCAAGACTTCATTTTATTTAACGAAGACTTCATTTGATCTGCACTAGTTTGATACGTAAACCATTTCGAGTGGTCAAATTGTATTAGAATACTGCTTAAAATTATATAAATTCTTGCCAGTACAACTTGTGATCTGTTAAAACTTAAAAACTGAAAATGTTTTGTCCTTCAGATTAAAATCTAAAATGCATAAAAAGGTCACACCAGAACAGAATATTTGTATTCAAATTATTCTATAAAATACACTTAAAAACGATTCTTTTAAGACTTTCACTTTTTGGTTTAGCTTCTCAGACAAAAAAACAGCATCCTTAAAAAGGTCAAACCCAGAGAAAAATCACATCTTATGCAAAATGTCATTCAGTTTTGTATAACTTCTATTCTGATTGTGAAAACTCATTAAAGACTATTTGGATTCGATTTATTTTGCTTCTCTACCCTTTTTAGATGGGTCCAGAACTACGGTAAATAGGCAGATCAAACCTGGACAGAATTATTCAACTATGAAATACAATTTGTGAAACATCAAAGGTGATTTTTGGAAGGTGTGTGACTTCTTCACTAACTTGGATGAGGTTTAACTTGAAAACTAGAAATACAAAGGCTGGTAAAGCCTGGAAATTAAGCGAAAACACAGTTTATCTTTATTCTTTTGCCTCCTTATTGGTGCAAATGAAGGTTCATCTTGGTGAAAAGGCCAACAAACCTTAAAATGGCCCCATTTCCAATTAAAGTTTGACCAGATTCTCATGCAGTTTGGTCACTATTCGAATCGGACACCAACTTCAGCGCCGTCAATCCAGCTACGTACGTCTTGAAAACTCGGCCAGGGCTTTGGCTTTATTTCTGTCACTGGATGATGTATTTTCTTCTGAATTCCGCCTCCAGTCGTGCCTTTTATTTAGCCCAGGCTTGGTTTCGCTGTCCCCCAGCTGTGGAGGCTCGCAGCGCGGTGGAATGTGCCGCTTGTTGCCCGAACAATGGGCAGCGAGGTGCCGCCGCTGGGAGGAGGAGAAGCAGGGGGGCTTCACCGGGATTACTCAGCCCTCCAACTTTTTCTCCAAACGTGGCGCCGCGTAGTTTCTCCTCTGCTTGAACGTTTGTCCCACCAGCCACAATGTGCTTCAAATACACCCCCTTTTCTTTCTCGTGTGCTACTCGTATTTATTTATTTTTAATGTTCATTTTCTTGTTGGCAGTCCAGATTACCCTTTGCTCGGTGGGTTTCCCCTTCCCCTGGTGGTTTTTCATCTGGTTTCATGCTTTTCCTTTGGTTGCATCAGAAACATAAGCTGGTCGGAGCGGCATGTTGGACTCATGGTTTATGTTAGGAAGTAGGGGACACTAGAGAGCGCCACTGTCCCCGTATAGTGGGAAACGTTTGACCTGTACAGCACAGTAAATAAGCATAATGTGTGATGATATAGTATTTAGGAAACTGCAGGATGAGCAGGGATTACTCCAAGCAGCGGAGGAGGCGCAGAGCAGTGCATACTTTGTGGTGTCGGTTGCATGTCTGGATGAGTTGGCTCTGTAGTATGTAGTTGCTAAACCGGTCTGGAAGGATTTTTTTTGCCTGTTCTGATTGCTGATAAACAAGACACTTAGGACAGAAATAGACAACACGTCTTAGAGCCAAGAAGAAAAAAAGACAATATAGAAATCAAATTCATTTCATTTCTGAATTTGTGAATACTGGAAGAAATGGTGCTTCATATTCATATTTAAGCTCTCAGAGGTCATGCAAGTATGCAACACAAGTATGTGTTAGGACAGGAATATTTAAGTCTGGGAGAAAGAGACTGGATTAGAAAACAATTATGTTTCTTCATACCCATTTTAGATTGATTAATATAGAAGTCTTTTAATGTTTGCATATGTAGGCGGCACATGTTCAATGTAAAGCTGAGGATCAATCAAATCTTCTGGAAATTTAACATTTATAGTTCTATCCGCACACCCAAGCTTAACTCAAACTTTTCTACTTTTTTCTGTTGAAGTGTGTTTGTGGTTTGATTTAGGAGGTTTTCAGTAGACATCTCTTCTTGCTCTAACTGAAAACAAGAAGGCTCTTTATTGCTCAAAAATAAAATTTCACTTCCATTTGGTTTTCCCTCAAAGCGGTTGGTTATTAGAAGGGTTCTGCAGTCAAAAAGTTCCCTCAATGAGCTCATGGTGGCACTTTTAGAAAGACAGCTCATGTAAAAACATGAGGAAAAATGAGTTTTAGCAGGTTAAGAGGCTGCAGGAAAGGGAAATAATTTGGCGGCACACTTGCAACTTTCGGCCTCAGTTTCTCTGGTCTAAACGGACGCCTCCTGAGGTTTACAAGCGTCTCCACAGCGCCGGTCCAAACTTTACCCTGCTGCCAAAAATTGCATGTGAGCTGAAGCCCTACCCAGTGCAGCTTGTTGGACTGGTGGAGTTTTTGTGCAGGTTTGTTTACTTTGTGGATGGGGAATTTTTGGGGTCAGGCTTTTAACCCCGTTGTTCTCCTTCACAAGTAAACGGATGACGCCATGTCTAGCCCAGTCCAGATTATTGTACTTCAAAAGCAGCAAAGAATATCAGCTAGAATCATTTTGCCACAATAGTCTTGTTGATTATTACTTTTTAGTAATATTACTTGTTTGCTTCTCAGTGTGTCTTATCTCAGTAAAATCAGCAGCTTTGTCAAGATAACTAATAATGCAGCAGCAATTTGAAAAGCTGTTGAAATTAGGTCAGCAATCCAAGGAGGACGTAAAACATTCTTGCAACAAGCGTTTACCCTTCTGGCCATGCTCAAAGCGCGCCCAGTAAGATCAACATGTGAGCTCAGATTTGTTGTTGGAATGTGACCATCCAGCCTCAGAGCACTGAATAAGATCTCCAGCGTCTTGTAGCACTTCTAACTTTGTGTCCGTCTCACGACAGCTGCACGTCTCCTTCACCCACCCAGCATTTCATGCATGTCTGCACAGCTGTTTCCATGGCGGAAGAAAGCCGACACCTCCCTTGTGCGCTGCGGCTGCTCCCACCCTGCTCCGGTGGTGTGTGTGCGTGCGTGGCCGTCCTTACTTTCCCGATACGTTTGTGGCCCCCGAAGGTCACGCCGCCCGATTGACAGGCCTCTTTAGAAATCCCATTGCGCTGCAGTTGTTCATCTCCTTGAAGTGACACCTGCTGTGGAGGGTTTTTTGTATTTTATATATTTTATTTTTCTTTATGAGGCGCCTGCCAACAAGCTGTTTCAAATTGCTATATATTTTTTTCTTGGCAGATGTAGGTGGACCATATACCATCTAGCGGTGCAGCCTGCCAGCGAGGAGTGCTGTTTTGAAGCAGCAGGGCACTTAAAGAGGCCGATTGGATTAGCTTAATTTACCAGTTTAAGACATTGTGGTTTATTTGGACATGATCCTGTGAGTTGGGGGCGTCTCTGTTGACTCGGAGAAATATAATCATATTAATCTGGACATCTGTAGCTGTTTCAGTTTTAGGAAGAGTCCCAGTGGAGAAATGACAATCTGCACAGAATTAGGGAATCTTTTGCTTGTTGGCTGATCAGCCCACCTGTTTGGCACCTGAGACGTTGTAAACGGAAGCAACACGGGTCAGATAAAAATGTCTGGGTCACTGTCACCAAGGCACACAAAAGCAAAGTTTTTAATGTTTTTGTTTATAGTTACAGTACACAAACAACCACAATCACAATTATTTTCTGAAGGTTCACAGAGAGAGGCCTGCCTCTGAGTTTAGCCCAGGACACTGAGGATGCATTCACACCAGTCCTGTTCAATCCAGTTTAATTGAACTCCAGTTTGTTTGCCCAGAAAGTCTGACTTGTTTAGGGAGGTGTGAATGCGCAAAAGCAAACTCTGGTCTGCCTAAAACCTCAGTCTTGGTTTGGTTGAAGCAAACTCTGTCCTGGTTTAAAAGCATATGTGAATGCCAAGTGGACTGCAGATCGCTCCTAAAACAGGAAGTGAACCATAGTGCATAGTATTCTGGGTAAATACAACCTAAACAAACGTGCTGATCTAGTGCCAGCACGTTTGTTTTTTTTGTTTTATTTTTACCAAAAACAAAAGAGAAAAAATACAATCGCTAAAATCTGATGCCACTCCATTTTGGTTTTCATTTCATGAAGAATTACATTTTTTCAGAGGTTTTTGTGTCATTTCCTTCAGTGGTTCTTGGTGCAGCACCACCACATGCAAGGCATGGAATAGAATTTTGAAAAGGTTTGTTTTATTTGAAACAGTGGAGCATGAAAGCAACTAACTGAAAACGTAACAAATGTTGCAATTTTTGGTCCCCAATCCAACCAAGTCTGCAGAACTATCTGGTGTGCAATTACCCAGAATGAAGCATTGTGTGTCTGAACATGGCCGCTGTGGAAAATGTTTTCCGTGTTTTTATGTGCACTGCCACACAGTTTTGAATCTACTCTCTGCATCAGGATTTTACCGGGACATTCCTGGGAGAGTTGTCAGCGTTTGGAGGACAAACTGTCTGC